TTTTTATAGACAATCTTTAAATAAAATGTATCTTTATTTAAATTTTTTCAATTTGAGCAACACTTGCCAGCCATCATGTATATATGTCTTTCGCAAACGTGATGATTGAGTGTTAAAAGAACTGTATGCTCAGTACTATATGCATCAAATTTTATATAAGCCATAAAAAGTTTTATGAAAAAAATTAATGGTTTTTTTCAAATAATATAATATTGCAATTTGTTTGTAATAAATTTGTTACAGAATTTTTTCTACTTTATAATTAAAAAAAAGAACTAAATGAAATAAAAATGTTTCAATATTCAGTGAATTCAGGTGTGAAATCTATTTGTATTTCGTGTTTTTTTTTTACATAAAAGTTTTCGTAATTTATTTAAAATAGTTTATTTTATTTAAAATATATTGTAATATTAGATTTTTATTTCTAAAATTTATAAATAAATTTTCACTTTTTTATGAAACATTAACCCTGGAAAATACATAAATTTAAGGGTGTAAATAATTTAATTTGTGTGTATTTTTTTATCTGTTATATTTTATGTCACAAAACATTTCTATTTTATCTACTTTAAATGTTTAAGGGTTAATAAATAATTTTGTGGCTTTTATGGAAAAATATTATTTAGATTTTTATCTAGTTCACCTGTAACGACAGCACAAAAAACACTTATGTATTTTAATATTTATAAACTTTTTGCTCGCGGTTGTTATTTTAATAAAATTATTACGTTTATTAAATATTCAAATGATTTTATTTAGGTAAAATGTCAAATATTTTTTTTTTGTTTTTCTAATATTAATAAGAGTATTTTTCTAATAAACACAAAATGAGTTTTTATACCAAAATATTTAGAGTGAATATACTGGTCGGACAATGTATATATTGCTCCTAAAATGGTAGGGTCTTATATTGGCGGATTTGCCTAACTTATTTTTATACACGTGTTAACTAACGACCTTTGGTTACAAAAATGTAAATTTATTAAAATTTTCTAAAATAAAATATTTATACAAAATTAGCTTTCATCAAAGGTTTGAATTTAGAATTAATTATGAGTAAAAACTTCATTATCCTATTGTTACTACCTATATACTAGACTATAAACTAGACTATAGACTAGACTATAGACTAGACTATAGACTAGACTATAGACTAGACTATAGACTAGACTATAGACTAGACTATAGACTAGACTATAGACTAGACTATAGACTAGACTATAGACTAGACTATAGACTAGACTATAGACTAGACTATAGACTAGACTATAGACTAGACTATAGACTAGACTATAGACTAGACTATAGACTAGACTATAGACTAGACTATAGACTAGACTATAGACTAGACTATAGACTAGACTAGACTATAGACTAGACTATAGACTAGACTATAGACTAGACTATAGACTAGACTATAGACTAGACTATAGACTAGACTATAGACTAGACTATAGACTAGACTATAGACTAGACTATAGACTAGACTATAGACTAGACTATAGACTAGACTATAGACTAGACTATAGACTAGACTATAGACTAGACTATAGACTAGACTATAGACTAGACTATAGACTAGACTATAGACTAGACTATAGACTAGACTATAGACTAGACTATAGACTAGACTAGACTATAGACTAGACTATAGACTAGACTATAGACTAGACTATAGACTAGACTATAGACTAGACTATAGACTAGACTATAGACTAGACTATAGACTAGACTATAGACTAGACTATAGACTAGACTATAGACTAGACTATAGACTAGACTATAGACTAGACTATAGACTAGACTATAGACTAGACTATAGACTAGACTATAGACTAGACTATAGACTAGACTATAGACTAGACTATATACTAGACTATAGACTAGACTATAGACTAGACTATAGACTAGACTATAGACTAGACTATAGACTAGACTATAGACCAGACTATAGACTAGACTATAGACTAGACTATAGACTAGACTATAGACTAGACTATAGACCAGACTATAGACTAGACTATAGACTAGACTATAGACTAGACTATATACTAGTCTATAGACTAGACTATAGACTAGACTATAGACTAGACTATAGACTAGACTATAGACTAGACTATAGACTAGACTATAGACTAGACTATAGACTAGACTATAGACTAGACTATAGACTAGACTATAGACTAGACTTAGACAATAGACTATACTACAGACTAGACTGTAGACTATACTATAGACTAGACTGTAGACTAGACTATAGACTAGACTATAGACTAGACTATAGACTAGACTATAGACTAGACTAAAGACTAGACTATAGACTAGATTATAGACTAGACTATAGGCTAGACTATAGACTAGACTATAGACTAGACTATAGACTAGACTATAGACTAGACTATAGACTATATTATAGACTAGACTATAGACTAGACTATAGACTAGACTATAGACTAGACTATAGACTAGACTATAGACTAGACTATAGACTAGACTATAGACTAGACTATAGACTAGACTATAGACTAGACTATAGACTAGACTATAGACTAGACTATAGACTAGACTATAGACTAGACTATAGACTAGACTATAGACTAGACTATAGACTAGACTATAGACTAGACTATAGACTAGACTATAGACTAGACTGTAGACTAGACTATAGACTAGACTATAGACTAGACTATAGACTAGACTATAGACTAGACTGTAGACTAGACTATAGAATAGACTATAGAATAGACTATAGAATAGACTATAGAATAGACTATAGAATAGACTATAGAATAGACTATAGAATAGACTATAGAATAGACTATAGACTAGACTATAGACTAGACTATAGAATAGACTATAGAATAGACTATAGACTAGACTATCGACTAGACTATCGACTAGACTATAGAGTATACTATAGACTAGACTATAGACTAGACTATAGACTAGACTATAGACTAGACTATAGACTAGACTATAGACCAGACTATAGACTATACTATAGACTTAACTATAGACTAGACTATAGACTAGACTATAGACTAGACTATAGACTGGACTATAGACTAGACTACAGACTAGACTAAAGACTAGACTATAGAATAGACTATAGACTGGACTATAGACTAGACTATATACTAGACTATAGACTAGACTATAGACTAGACTATAGACTAGACTATGGACTGGACTATAGACTAGACTATAGACTAGACTATAGGCTAGACTATAGACTAGACTATAGACTAGACTATAGACTAGACTATAGACTAGACTATAGACTAGACTATAGAATATACTATAGACTAGACTATAGACTAGACTATAGACTAGACTATAGACTAGACTATAGACTAGACTATAGACTAGACTATAGACTAGACTATAGACTAGACTATAGACTAGACTATAGACTAGACTATAGACTAGACTATAGACTAGACTATAGACTAGACTATAGACTAGACTATAGACTAGACTATAGACTAGACTATAGACTAGACTATAGACTAGACTATAGACTAGACTATAGACTAGACTATAGACTAGACTATAGACTAGACTATAGACTAGACTATAGACTAGACTATAGACTAGACTATAGACTAGACTATAGACTAGACTATAGACTAGACTAGACTATAGACCAGACTATAGACTATACTATAGACTAGACTATAGACTAGACTATAGACCAGACTATAGACTATACTATAGACTTGACTATAGACTAGACTATAGACTAGACTATAGACTAGACTATAGACTAGACTATAGACTAGACTATAGACTAGACTATAGACTAGACTATAGACTAGACTATAGACTAGACTATAGACTAGACTATAGACTAGACTATAGACTAGACTATAGACTAGACTATAGACTAGACTATAGACTAGACTATAGACTAGACTATAGACTAGACTATAGACTAGACTATAGACTAGACTATAGACCAGACTATAGACTATACTATAGACTTGACTATAGACTAGACTATAGACTAGACTATAGACTAGACTATAGACTGGACTATAGACTAGACTACAGACTAGACTAAAGACTAGACTATAGACTAGTCTATAGACTAGACTATAGACTAGACTATAGACTGGACTATAGACTAGACTATATACTAGACTATAGACTAGACTATAGACTAGACTATAGACTAGACTATAGACTAGACTATGGACTAGACTATAGACTAGACTATAAACTAGACTATAGACTAGACTATAAACTAGACTATAGACTAGACTATAGACTAGACTATAGACTAGACTATAGACTAGACTATAGACTAGACTATAGACTAGACTATAGACTAGACTATAGACTAGACTATAGACTAGACTATAGACTAGACTATAGACTAGACTATAGACTAGACTATAGACTAGACTATAGACTAGACTATAGACTAGACTATAGACTAGACTATAGACTAGACTATAGACTAGACTATAGACTAGACTATAGACTAGACTATAGACTAGACTATAGACTAGACTATAGACTAGACTATAGACTAGACTATAGACTAGACTATAGACTAGACTATAGACTAGACTATAGACTAGACTATAGGCTAGACTATGGACTAGACTATAGACTAGACTATAGACTAGACTAGACTAGACTATAGACTAGACTATAGACTAGACTAGACTATAGACTAGACTAGACTATAGACTAGACTAGACTATAGACTAGACTATAGACTAGACTATAGACTAGACTATAGACTACACTATAGACTACACTATAGACTAGACTATAGACTAGACTATATACTAGACTATAAACTAGTATATAGACTAGACTATAAACTAGTCTATAGACTATTCTATAGACTATACTTTAGACTAGACTATAGACTATACTATAGACTAAACTATAGACTAAACTAACGAGCTTGACCCATTACATTTCTCTGCTTATTTCTCTTATTCAAATACTAATTGTTCTTTTGAATTTCTTATTTTTCTTTACAGGTAAATAATCAAGAAATAAATCGCCATCATTAAATAGCAACACATTGCTCTGACACTTGATGTCTTGGCAACAATAACAACAACAATTATAATGTATAGTAAGTTTGGGGAGGGGAAAACAGAAATGTGTTGGTTTTAAAAGGCATTTAATAGATTGAGTCTATATAAAACATTAAAACAACAATGACAAGGGAAATGAATTGAAAATGAAGTAGGAGGACATTTGACTAAATATTTATATTTATACAAGGACTTGCAATTGCAAGACATACTAAAGTCTACTCACACCCTCTCCTCTCTTACACCAACAAGCAACTACATACTCAAGGACAGACACTTTGAAAGGACACTTGAAAAGACGTTAAGTTTGTATAATATTTAAAAAAAAGTAAAATAGAAACAGAGAAAGAAAAATACAATACACAAGAAAAAGAATTAAAGTTCAAAGGAATTGCAGAAATGAAAGACAAGCCAGTGAAGTAAAATAAAATGAAATGTAAGTACAGTGAAGTAAATAAAAAATACTTCTTTTCTGTAATTTTAATGCAGAAAAAACAACAACAAATGAAATTATAAAACAAAATGTTAAAAAGCATAAAACGAAATAAAAATATAGAAACTCAAGAAATGAAGTGTGTTTGTTGTTTGTATGACGGCACGCTAAGTCAACATAATTAAAGCAATCAAGTATGACTTCAAGTAGAAAGTTAGCCCTTAGACAAATTGGTCTTTAGCTTAGAAAAAACAACAGCAACAGCAGCAATATACAACCTAACAGCTAAAATATCTAAAAAAATATACATACAAATGTTTAACTAAATGCCGCTGCCATAGTAAGAGATTGCGTGGTTAAAATTCTTTATGTTAAACGAAGAACTGTAACTTCCATATTTTTCACTAAGCACAAAGAATGACGAACTGCTTGAATGGCAGAGGTTTACTTTGTTTTTTTAATGAAAAGTTCCTGTTTTTGTTGGCGGAGTTTATTATTTTTTTGTTTTCGTTTTTCGAGTGTTTTTAAAATGCTAAACGATTTCAACTTGTAATGAAATAAAATATACAAAATTTTTTCTTGTGCAAGTACTCTTAAAATAATTTAAGCTTAAAGAAATACAAATGTAGACTTGACTGTCATGTGAAAAGAAAATTATATTAAATACAATTATAAGAGGAAATTATAACAAAGTTACTTAAAATTCTAAAATGGAGTAGAAAAAAAAAAAAAGTTCATAAATATTAAAACGTAGGTTTTGGGGGTAAAAGTTAGAAGAAGTAGGTGTTGTAAATTTAAAGAGTAGAAGGGGGTACCAGGTGAGTGATGATGATGACAAAATGGATGTTTTGTTTTAGTAATGCATTTAATAATTTCAATGTTATGGTCACAGTGTTTGTACTGATGGGACCTACGACGCCATATTTTGACATGATTTGAATTATGCCATATAACCAAAAAATTAGTGGGAAATGCGTTTTTATTATTTGTAGATCCTTCGTTAAATTCCCTTTGTTTCAACAGAAAGAAATTTTTGGAAAATTGATTACAGAAGAAAAACTTGTCAAACATGACAAAGTTAATGAAAACTCTCTCATGAGCTTTTGAGCTATAGCACATACTTAAACTCATATCTATATATAAAGGGAGAGACAAAATCACTACGACGATTTTTTAATTCTCTGATGACGCTTTATTTAGAACCTGAGTCTCTAGGAATTGATAATATAATATTCCATAATACTCCCGAATAACATACAAGGGCAGAGAGCTCTCTCAACAGACTTTTTGCATTCACTCATACATAAGCTCAATCATGAATGCATACATACAAGAATAAATAAACAAAACCAGTGAGAGGCTAAAGTTTCTTTAAACTCTCTACGTAAAGATTGTGGCGGATCACTGAAACTTTCAGAGCAGATACCGACAAAAGCTATTTAGCTCTCATTAGGCAAAAGGCAAAAGTTTCTTAAAGCTCTTTATGTAAAGATCGTGGCGGACTATTCTAGAACTGACACCGGCAAGAGCTTACTTATAATCATAAACTCTCACAAAAAAGAAAACTTATTTCCATTCTCTTCTGCTGTGTTATGATAAAAAGTTGTTAAACTTTTTACTCACTGATCGTTAAAAATTTTCACTGAAACTTTTAAAACAGATAACAATAGCAAGCTCTTTAAATAACTCTCTTGCTTTAGCACTCAAATATACAAAATAAAACCATCAGTAAATAGCTAAAGTTATATTAAAGTCTTTATTAACAAATTGAGAAGATTTTTTGTTAAAACTTTCAGAATAGAAAGCTCTTCCATGAGATTTGTTGCTCTCACACTTACGTAAGCTTCCACATTAAAAAAAAAAAATCTAACGAGACTCAATCTTTACTCTCTACAAATACTCATTTTAAAACAGGGAGCTCTCTGACTTGTTTTGTTTAAAAGCATACGTACGTATGTGAACAAGAGATCAAAAAAAGCTCGTAAAAAAGCTCTTTGAATATATCTATTCTAGAGCATCGTAAAATTAACGTTAAAACATCCTACTCTCTTTTGATTTGAAGCCATGGTATCTACGAACTGATAATACTCTTGCAAGAGATCAATAATGCGTATTTCTGTTTTAGAGCCATCATAAAAAGAAGCTAAAGTTATTTAAACTTTCTTCACGCTCGTGAACTAAACACGAAATAGATTTGAAACTGGGAAATAGAGGCAATACTCTATATATTTCATTAGAAAGAATTGTAGTTTCTGTATTTATCCGTTATCTCAATAGTAATCTCAACCTTCGGCTATCGTTTAATCGGTACATATCCTGCCTGTTAAAGTAATTTGTGTATGAAAACGACAACTGACTTAAACATGCCTCTATTTGACACCAAAACTAAGCATTATTAGAAATGTATGTATAATACTTATAAATAAATTAATCATATTTATATTGATTGAACTATAAAGTTCAAATTTTTGTTTAGAACTTTCATTAATGACAAAATTTCATTAATCAAAATTTAATATTTAAACCATACAGCTATTAATTGAAAAATATGTTTACTAAAAAGTTCTACTCATTAGCCAACAACTCTTATAAAGCAAAAACTTTCTCAAGCTACAGCTAAGTTAACAACATAATTTATGATAATTTGTCAACAACTTTAATTTTGTTGAAATGGTCTAAGAAAATGAATTGCCACTAATAGTACCTTCACTTTGACACCCCTTTTTATACCCACCATCAAAAAAGATGGGGGGTATATTGTTTTTGTCATTCCGTTTGTAACACATTGAAATATTCGTCTAAGACCCATAAAAGTATATATATTCTGGGTCCTTATAAGATTCTAAGACGATCTAGCTATGTCCGTCCGTCTGTCCGTCTGTCCGTCTGTCTGTTGAAAACACGAGTCCAAATGGAAGCAGCTAGCGAGCTGAAATTTTGCACAGATACTTCTAGTTGATGCAGTTTGTTTGGTATTGAATATCGGTCCACAATTTCGCCTAGCCCCCATATAAGGCCCCCTTCAGAAAATGACTTTATCGCTCATAACTTGCTAAGGGAAGAACCAATAGCGGTGAAATTCGGCACAAACATGTTTCATGGGAACCTAAATCTCTTTTTTAAATTTTATAAGGATAGGCTCATAATTGACCCTACCCCCCATATAAAGTCCCCTTCAGAAAATGACTTTATCGCCCATAACTGGCTAAGAGAAGCATCAATAGCGGTGAAATTCGGCACAAACATGTTCTATAGGAACATAAATCTCTCCGTGGAATTTTATAAGGATAGGCCCATAATTGACCCTACCCCCCATATAAAGTCCCCTTCAGAAATGACTTTATCGCCCATAACTGGATAAGAGAAGCATCAATAGCGGTGAAATTCGGCACAAACATGTTTTATGGGAACATAAATCTCTTTGTAAAATTTTATAAGGATAGGCCCATAATCGACCCTACCCCCCATATAAAGTTCCCTTCAGAAAATTACTTTATCGCCCATAACTGGCTAAGAGAAGCATCAATAGCGGTGAAATTCGGCACAAACATGTTTTATGGGAACATAAATCTCTTCATATAATTTTATAAGGATCGGTCCATAATTGACCCTACCCCCCATATAAAGTCCCCTTCAGAAAATGACTTTATCGCCCATGACTGGCTAAGAAAAGCATCAATAGCGATGAAATTCGGCACAAACATGTTTTATAAGAATTAAAATCTCTTCGTAAAATTTTATAAGGATCGGTTCATAATTGACCCTACCCCCAATACAAGGGCCCCTTCAGAAAATTACTTTAATGCTCATATCTGACTTTAAGAAACATATGTGCATATATATAGCAATAAAATTCGACATAAAAAATGTTTATAGGAACTAAAATCATTTTCTTAAATTTTATGAGGGTGGGTCCATAATTGACCCTACCCCCCATATAAGGTCTCCTTCAGAAAATGACTTTAAGAGACAAACTAGTTTTGTGTGAGCCAAAAGTTCTTTATCAAATTTTATAAGGATCGGTCCTTAATTAGCCCTATCCCCCTTGTAAGGTCCCCTTCAGAAAATGACTTTAAAGCTCATTACTAGCTTAAAACTGCGAGTACTGAGTACGACATGAACAATTTTCGCTACAATTTTAGCTACAATCTCTCGCTAAATTTTATGAGGATCAGTCTGTAATTGACCATACCCCCCTATAAGGTCCCCTTCGGAAAATTACTTTAACGCTCATTACTGACTCAAAAATGCTATTACAGCAGTGAAATTCTACGTAAACAAGTTTTGTACTAGCCAAAAACTATTTATCGCATTTTATGGGGATCGGTCTATAACTGACCCCACCCTCCATATAAGGTCCCCCTCAGATAGTGACTGTAACGCTCGTTACTGGCTGTAACGCTCAAATGCGACTACAGCGATGAAATTTCACATAAACAAGTTTTGTATGAGTTTTTGGTTATAAATATTGGATCAAACAAAATTTATATTTTTAATTCGGAAGAGCACGGTCCATGCTTAAGCCTTTATTAAATTCCCTCTTCCAAATATTTCCCTGATGTTCATAATAATATCGACATATGATTCAACATAGATCGATAATATCAAAGTTTATTTATAAGGATGATTTGATGGTGGGTATATAAGATTCGGCATGGCCGAATATAACTTTCTTACTTGTTAGTTTTAACTTAATATGTATATACTTTCTTTCAATTTTCTGCTCTCTTAATTTAAACTTTTCCCTAATAAACGTATAATCACTTCATATTGTTTTTCTGTTCACCTTCTTAACCCGCTTCAGGTGTTTCAAATTTTGTTTATAATCAAATTTGCATGATTTTTTTTTTTTGTATTTTATTTTATAATTAAAAACTTCTTTAATTTACAAAAAAAAAACAACGTTTTAAATAGAAAATTTACAGACTTTGTACACGTTCATGCCAAAACTTTTAAACAATTTGTTAACGAAATACCGTGTTGGTGTTTTTTTCGTTTATTTTAATTTCCTGCTTTAATTTTTTTTTCAGAGAGTATTAGAATTATAAGGAAACTGTTGAAGTGTTATAATAATCACGTATTTAACATGAATCAGAAAATACGTTTTTGTTTTGCCTGTTTCATACTTCAAAAGCATAAAAGCAAAATCAAATAACTTCACATTTTGCAATGTTTGATTTTGAAATATTTTGAAAATAAATATATGAAGAAAAAATATTGGCAAACAATAAATTATGCCTGTAGGAGGGGTGAAATCATGTTACTACAATTACACTAACTAAATATGAAATAATAAAAATAAAACAAGTAAGACGAATCTTACAGACCCTTTACCATATATTATGGATTTGGCAGATTTAAAATTTTTAAACTTCTCGAAAGCATATTTGGTAGAATTATTGAAGATTTTTATCCCGGTGATATCTGGGGCCTTTAGAAAATTGATTTCAACAAACATACAGACAGA